GTTAAGTGTACGCGCGCGGTCTTAGATCTCGCTCTTCGAAGTACGGTGACCCTTTCGGGCTTGGGCGGAACTCCTTTGCTTCCGGTGCTGTTCCGCTGCTGCTATTTCTATATATAAACCTACTGTGCTCGTCGGTATAAAGCGGGTGAACGAGTGTGGAAGGCTTGCGCGTGTGTGTGTAGCCGAACACTAACGCAAGACGAGGGTATATAACTTTACTCGTTACACGAGAGAGAATTTTAATTTATAGGCCGAGCGTACTTAAAGCTCAATGATTTACCGCGTGAATCGTTTAACCCTTTCGAGGAAAATGATGTCGTTGGAGAACAAATTATTGCACTGTTTCTTTCACAATTCTTTGAATCTCTATTTTCAAATCTGTTTAAAGTTTAAATAGCTTGAAAATTCCGCAGATAACATAAATGTATCGATTGTAAAGAATATTTTATTAACGTTTATTTATATAGTAACATTTTATTAGTAAAGAATCATTAATCTAAGGATTTTATGTTCATTAAAAACGTGTTCTATTATTTTAATACTTGTTAGTTATTTCTTGTTTCGTTAATAATAGCGGTAATCAATATGCATTTTCGACTGTTAGAATATAACACGTTTCATAAAGCTAAGAAAAAGTGTGATGGACAACGGCATGATCGTAAGTCAATCTTACAACATTTTGATGGCAAAAATTCGTGAGAAAAGAAAGTCGAGAAGAATTTATAGTGCTGTGACAGCAGACGTACGTATACATCGCATATGTCGCAATACGCAAAGCGTGTGTAGAGTAAAGTGTGGTTTCGTGCAATTATAACCCTGTTAAGAATTAATTCAAACGGCATTAAGTTGTCTTAAAGAACACATAAAACATGTTTCAAGAAAAGGTCTACTTTTAAACGTATATATCTTGCCTGTGGGAATTTCATATTTAATAGACGAAGCAAACTTGTTTCGCAGGAACTGTATTACATTTCATTATATTATAATTGCGTCAATTTGTAACTTTGACCGTGTATAATCTAGAACATGATTTCCTCAGTTTCTCAATAGCAGTAATGACTTTTAATAAAAAAAAAACAAGCTATACGCACACTTATGAAGCAGTGTATACTTACGTTGCGTTGTCTGATTCCTGCGCGTCTACGCGTAAAAAAAAAACATTTGTTTATCACGCATGGTCGTCGATTTTCCTATTTTTGGCGCGCTGGATTGATAATAGTTTGTCGCAGGATACTGTCGTACAATTGACGGCTTCCTACGACTTCCGCCACTCGTGGAGGTCGGTGATTACTTTTTGTCGGAAGTTCGTTGCTATATGGGAACGGGTAGGGACGGTTACCGGAGTTAAAAGGTCGTACCATGTTGTCGCGACAAATTAATTGCGGCTCCCAAAGCCGCGTAATTATTCCAGAATGCAATTCGAGTCCTCGATAATCTTCGCACGTTTTCGTAAAGAGATAAATATTGCTTTACTTTTTTATCAATCTATTAAAAAATTATTAGCTTACCGAGCAAAATTTAACAGAGAGAAAATAAATTTCCTATTTTATTTCGGAGGAAATATATCGTCGCCTATCTTGCAACCAATTAGAAGCCATCCAATTAAATTGCCGTGCGCGATGAATCGAAATTCGGATTCGGAAGAATAACATCGATAAAATATGGGAAACAAAGAGATCATTCGCACGCGGTCTCAACGAAAGTGTAACAATAGATTAATTGATTTACCCTAATATATTTATATCAAATTACATATATATGTAATTATATAATTAATAATTATAACTATTTAATGATTATTATAATTCTTTCTTAAATTTATATAATTATATAATTATATATTATATATATATATTACGTACATATATGTAAAATACCGAAGAATCTGTAAATATTGCTCAAGTTTTATTTATCTTATTATAAAAAATGTGTGCATATATTAAAGAGACGTCAACGCGCATGTCTTGAGGAAGTTAAATGATGCAATAGTGATCGTCGTAATGGAGGTTTTACGAGAATTACAAAATGTGGCGACAAATTGCATAATAATCGGTCCACATTGATACGCTGGATGAACGGACGGAGGAACGAGCGAGGTGGGCGAAATGTGAATGAGAAGGGAAAAGGACAATGTCCTAGGGCGGGATGCTTAATGCTCGCGAGAGCCGAGTTTCGTTTTAGGACGCACCCTTGCGTATCGACGTGCAGCGAACCACGATTCTGTTGGCTATTTCCTAAATCGACGTATCCGCAAAAAGGCAGAAAATTTCTCGAGCAACCCAAAGTGGATCGCCAGGAAAATCCGGATACACGAATTAAACTCGGCAATAATTTGTGACTTGTTCCTTACGACAAATCCTGATAATATTGCAACATTGCAAGTTAAAAACTAAAGTCATCTGCGTTCTCACAAAACCCTAAACTATTCAACTTTCGTCCTCAGTTTCCTCGCATCGACGCAATTAAATGCGATGTTGATCGCGTTCTACGAAACGTTTGCTCCGATTTGGAAAATTCAACGACCGCGTTTGGCACTAAATGCGACGTTAGACGAAGATCCTATATTAAGGCCGGCTAATCGATAAGGATGCGTCGTGCAACAGGAACAACAACAAGAATATCAACAATAACAACACTATTGTCACCGAGCGTTATCACAGCGCGAAAGAACGAGAGATAGAGAGATTCATCACGTCGAGAGTCGCGTTATGCACGTGTGTGCCGGTTATATCGGCGGCGGCGGCGCGCAGGGCAAAGTGCATTATGCGACTGCTGGCGGGTGCAGCGCCGATGTCCTGGCTTTCCTATGTAACACACTGCACCCTGCCTCCCACCCTCCTGCTGCCGTTCCTTTCGTCCCTCGTCTCCCTGCCCTGCTTCTTCCCGTTTCACGATGGTGCGCGCATCGCACCGACCACGTGACCATTCTCTTTAGCTAAGCCGATTACTGCACCGCCAACGACATCCTCTTCTCTCTTTTTTTTCCTTTTTCTCACTCTATCTTTCTTTATCCACCGCTTTTTTCGTCCTCCGTCAGTCTTTCTCGATCTCTCGTTTTAGTCAGTTGTTCCTCATTTTCGTCCATTTCCAATCCTGACCAAGCTCCGCGGGATTTTTAAATTTCATGGCACAAGAACCATTAAAAAGTAACAAGATTTGTATAACGTCTGCTATTAAGTTTCTATTTGGCGCAGTTAATTAACTTCTTTTTCTTTGTGCATCGCGCTCGCGAGAATTCTACAGTTCGTCGCCGACTAATCGTATCTTAAATTTTACTGCGTACTTCTATCTTTGCTCAAGACTAATTTCCCTAAACAGAATAAATTCTCTCTCCCAACTTTTCGCACCTCGCATTCCAAGTTTGCGTTCGCCGCGCGCACGGGGGCGAATCTGTATCTCCGATCGTGCTTCGCTTCCCGGAATTTTTCGTCTTTCTTTCTTTCGCCACGTGGTGGAGAACGCGGCCCGTGTTTCTCTAACGATGACCGGCCGTTTTTGTCTTTGTTCGTTTCCTCCACGAGCGAGCGAGCGAGCAGCGACGGCAGATGCGCGCGGACGTACCTCTTTCTATATCCCTCTCGCTACGTGGAAACGGACGTGTACCGTCGCCGTTCCACCGGAATGCCTCCTCTGCGTCTCTCTCTCTCGCTCTCTCTCTATACCGCCGGACTCCGCCGGTCACTGCGTCATTTCTGTTCGCCACGTCCCTCTCGTTCTCGGTCTCGCACCGAACAGTGGCGGATTCACACACATCAGACTCTGCTCTAGGCACATCATATACATATAAAATCTGAGGCCACCCCTCGTAGACATCCGCCTTTCTTAGGTCTGCTCCTTTTTAGCTGTGCTTTTTTTTACGTTTTCGTACTTGACAAAGAGGAGAAAGCGACAATAGGCGGAAAAAAATACAGTTAAAAAGAACGAGTTGCCGGTTTAGTCAATGTATTCCACATACAACGACCTAAGATAGTCTTATTTAAAATGCTATTATTCGGGGCTCGTATCCTCGTATTTAATACTTCACACGATCATTCGATCCTCCGGATTCTATTTCTTTCGCGAATAAATGTTGCGTATTTCGGATAGAGGAATTGTCAGGCAACCGATATTATTTAAAAAATATATATAGTTGCGCGTGCGTAACAAATAATCCATGCAATTATTCCGATCAGCAATAGCATCAATAACTTATCTTCTTAATTCTCTACAGCGATTTCGAAATACTTTAAGCAAAGTTCTTTACTGTTAAGAAGCAATTAATATAATTGTTCAATCAATCAATGTTTATCTAGGCGAATGGCGTCTGCGCGATTGTACAACCGCCTTGTAAAGTTAGGCGCCGCCGAAAGTCGGATGCTCGTCGCATCTCGACGCTCCGCAGAGCGCCCACGAGTCTATTCCTAAATCCGCCACTGCACCCAAACTGGCATCCTCCTCGGTCAGTGCGCCCTACCATCGCAATACACGGGCGCGTTTGCACTCGTCGCACCGGGAAACCGAGCCGGCACTGCAACTGTCCTTGTCGCACGCCGCTCGGCTCCATTCATGTCTCGGTTCTCCTCGGGTTATGCAACTCACTCGCGGCGAGAGACGCGAGGTGAGGGGATGAGCCGCGCCGACATTGCACACCGTCACTTTACCGCGCCCGAACCGAGAGAGAGAGAGACACACAGAGCAGGGAGAGAACTTGGATAAAACTTACCGTCGACGAGCCCGTACGACAAGCACTCCTTCTTCCTTCCCCGGTGTAACACCTATTACTTTCATCAATCACTTTACAAATAAGACGATGCTCCAAAATCTTTATTTCTGTGGAAACATAAGTAGGTAGAGCGTTAATGCAAGAGAATAAAATTCTATTATCGTCTCGGGTACAGGAAGAGGAGAGCAGGCTTGTTAAGAGATACATATTACTTCTCAACTGTTGGAACAAACGATTAGTAGAGTAGTTTTGAGGAATAGATGGAATTTTGTAGGTGAATGTGCCATGTTTTATTACGTACGCTTTAATGCACTTCTTTTTTTTATTGCACATCTTTGAAAACCATTACACCGCAGCATTAAATTCGTGATAAATGAATATTTCTTGAATATGCAGTGTGTAAGGTTTTGCGACGAATTATACCAATTTAATTATACGCGATAATGAACGGGCGGACAATGAATCAGTCGTTCCGTTTAATCACCAAATACCTGGTGTCTTGCTTAAACGAGTAATCCTAATTAAGTTACGAAGGCACCTAATTTAATCGGAAAGGAAATTCTTAATACTTTCCGGTTGTAAAAGTTACCAGAAAAAAAGAATCAATTGCGCGATGTGCGAACGCGTTTCTTCTGGATAGTATATTTCCTATTAAAATATCTTAATTAACGAAAACATGCTATCATCAATAAAGTACTAATCGCCAAATCAATGAAGTAGCGGGCGGGCGTAAATTAACAATTTACATGAATGTCCGCACCGCACCGCGTTTTACAATTGACTGTGTTACCTACCTAGATATAATATGATAATTTGTATAATTACACAATTCGCGTAATTAATTACATTATTAATTACAGAAGATACATTCGCTAAAGCACCGCTCGCGCACGTCATCGTAATCGTCGACGTGATGCTGTGCCGTCGACATTGATCGAGACGTCCTTCGCTTCTATCATCGAAGCTTCTAACGGCAGTGCTAGGTCGCACTAGTTTAATATAAACCGAGCGTCGGTGGTTTCCTTTGAACTGTAAATTGTCTGTCGATCGTCCGTATCAAGGATCGTCGAGAAGATCTATCAGCGGTCGTTCACGCGACAAGAAAAATTCTTCTTCGCAAGAAGAAAGTCCAATTGACTCTTGGAATTGACAATTTTGGTCTTGTAAAGCATCAGTTTCATAAAAGCAACGATCTGTTCCAACAAATGCTTAAAAAAAAAAACGGACGGTTTTCGTCGATTCGTCGCGTTAGGTAAAATCATCGCGCGAGAGATGCTTCTCGACATCCGCGAAATCAGACGGTCTATTTAATGGAATTAATATATAGAGGAATATAGGTCTAGATGTGAAAAGTAAGAGGACAAGATGTAATGTTGCGCACAATATAGCGATAGCGTAGTGAAAAACCTATTAAAAAGTTGGTCCCTAATCCAAACGTGAAATTAATTATATCAACGTGTCGATATAATGATACTGATTAACATTAAATTGTATTGCCTTTCAGGATTTTGGACCAACTTCTAATCGCATCGCTGAGCTCGTTGTTGCTTTAAGCTCGAGTGTCATCCACGACAAGGTTCCACCTTGTCTTCTCTATACATCACGGTATTTCGTACATACGTGGGTACACGTATATTGTTAATACTTTAGATGGTTTATCGACTGTGTGTATCAAAATATAATCTCTATATCTTATATAAAGCGTACAGCGTCGAGAATCGGATTAACCAATGATTGATCTGTTCCTTTCAATTACTGCGAATACGCCTATCCGGCCTATCGAGGAATATCGATCTGAGATGCCGACTCGCAGCGATCTTAATAATGAAAACAGAATATTACATTCGTATCATGCATGCTGAAACTAAATATTACTCGTATAAAGAAGCTGCATTTTGGAATTAGGCAAACCAATGTCTGAAGATAAAAGAATAAATTTTATATATCTACCTTTTTTATACACATATCTACAGGATATAAAAACTATGAAAAGACTAAATACTTATTGTATGTATATTCCTAATACTTCATTATAGCACTGCATTAAAATGTTATATAGAATTATGTTATTGCAGATATAAAAAGGAATATTTGTAAAAATGTGTTATTTAATTACAGATAACGGTTACTTTTCTGTATCATCTTAATTGCATATATTAATTTGCACTTATATTTATAGAAGTAGAAATTAAAATCTTAAAAAAAACCCAAATGACTAATTTTTGAAGGCTTGAGAACACACGCCACTATATCCGATATATGCCATGCTTTGGTCAATTGGCCAATCAACCAAGGAATCCTCATTTGGTCTCTAATTGTAAGTAAGTAAAATTATGTAGATATTGTTTATTTCATTTATATATTATTATTTCATTAAAATTTATTTTGACTTCTTTAAATAGCACTATAAATTTTTACAATGGCTTAATGATCTGATGATTTAACTTAGACGTTTCTTTAAAGGAAATACCGTAGACGAGAGAGGCGTGTGTCGGATTCCGCGAGGTGATCTATTTTTGCGCCAACGGGTATAGTGGCAACCTCGTTACGTGCTCCGGGATAAACGGCACGTCGCTACAAGAACGAAATTGCACCGTGCGCGCGGTGTGTGATTAGAAAGGGCACATTGTAACGCAATAAATATGCGTATAGGTTTACCTACCAGACACGAGAGCGTAGTCGGTGATTGCGTGCGAGCACGAGAGATACATGCAAGTTGCGAAATTCGCACTCTTTCGAGAGAGCTCCGTTTCAGAAAGGCGCAAACGAATTTGCATAATGCGACGGTGGGCCTCTCATTAATGAAGAATGAATAAGGCGGCAGTATATAAGTCGGAAACATGCCAATGATGATTTGCGAATCACGAACTAATTCCGTGATCAAACCGCAGATTTAAATCTCACAAATACTAACAATATTCACGATAATTAAGTAATAATACAAATACTTTGAAGCAAATTAATAAAACAATCGGTAATCTTTTAGGGAAATACTGGATTTTACATAAAAACTTGGTAAAATTAAAGTGATTTTATTATGAACAATCTTTGTTCTATATCTATACTACTTTAATATTCTAAATGGATAAATATACATAAATAAAAAAAATGTAAAATAAAATTTGATGTAAAATACAAATAATGACAAAAAGATCAGTCAATATTGATGTTGGTATAAATATAATTACAATTTGATGTTTCCCAAACCATCAAGAGGGATTCAGTATAAAGAGAAAATAATAATGGAATCAATGGAAAAATATAATTCCCTCTTAAAAAATATTTCGTATTGAATTTTTTTTCTGGATACTTAGAACGTTTAATTAATTCGTCTATAGTCAAAACGAGTCAAGTCGATATAAGAAATTGCGCAAGCGATATATACAGGAATAAATAGCTTGAAGTTTCCTGGAACTCTATTGTGTCTGAAACGATATATGTCATAATATCTATATAAATCTGTCTACGTATTTGATAAAAAATTAATATCCATTCCCTCTTTGTGAAATATCGACATTTCTCGATACTGTACTTTCAATGAAATAGATAGCTTAAAATGCTGATTTTTTTTTACAGTTCTCGACGCTGCACATTGTTTTAATTGCTTTACCTACCGAATTTTCGCGATTGTATCGATCTTGCAATTATCTCGGTGAATCCTGACAGACATCGATTTCGATGTTCGATTTTAAGTTCAGTCAACCAGGCTATCGTGTGTCTTCGACTTCTGGAATTGCATCGACGAGGACTAGATACGAGGGAAGACATTTACGAAGTGAAATGCATTCTAGAAGTGAAATGCGTTCTAGAAAAATATCTACCGGTTTAGAAAATTGTTGAGCGATTACACAACTTAGCCTTCGTTATAGCATTAATCGGACATCGAATTACAGACGAGTCTTAAAAACGTAGTTTCACATGATGATTAATATTTTATGTATCTTATATATCTCTCTGTTCCCCTCGATGACTACCAGGAATCACGAGGGTTATAGTTTGAAACCTGATTGGAAACACTCCTTATTTCACTACTGTTGGATTCTCCTGAGTCTTTAAGGATAAAAGTGCCGTATACGAAACGGCGGATAAAAAACACACGTCGGGACTGGAAAACATTCGTTATCGCTAGGCATTCGGTTTTTGACTTCTTCGCGAGAAGACGTGCTATTGTCCGGTGAATGCCGCGAATTGAGGGGACGGTCTCATCGCGACTGCGAACACTCGTTACCATTACCAGATGATCTTTACACGTTCGCAAAAGCGTGGACGCGCCCGTAACTACTTTGGGGACGATGTCCTTAACCTAGGCCAACGTCTAGGGACATCATCACTAGGAAACCGACGATAGCGGCCCAGCTGGCGAGTTTGCCATTTCCGCTGTAAACAAAAAGCGCATGTGGCACGCGCATTAAAATCCAGGAGATTCGCAAGAAAGCTGCCAAAAAATTCCAAACGTATCGCTCCACTTGACACGACTTATACGACAATGTTGAATTTAGCGGTTTATATTTTCCGTTTCGACAATTTTATCCGGGTAATTCTGCCTTCCAAAAGTTCGTCCGAAACTCCAACAAAGACGGGATGTTCGCGCGCGTATCAAGTTCTTTCTAAATCTCCGCAATGTTGCGATTTGGTGGCGGCGTGATGCATGAACGGCAAGAATCGGGATGGAATTTTAATTAGCGCAACCGGCGGCGCACGGATCGAATGTAAAAATCGAGAGAGACGTTGGTGGTGGACCAGAGTGAAGGACGAGAGGGGGAGGGGGAGGAACGAGGGTGCGGGGAATTAAAAAGGCGGCACTGGCGCCGTCGCCCACTGCTATCGTCATCGTCTTCTCTGCTCCTACGGCTCCGTGGCAACGACCTGGGAGAAAGAGAGCCCCAGGATGGCGAGAAATAAAAGGGTTTTCGCGGCAAGTAAGTAGGGATTAAGCACATACAAAGCACACACTCGCGCTGCGCTGTGCCGCGCGTATATACCCCGGTATTGCACGTCACGGCTTGTTGATTTCGTAAATTATACACGGCCATCAATTTTAACGGCCGGCGAAACGCGCCGTTGTATTTCGGTGGGCGTTCTACCACATCAATCATATCCGCGCGGTAAATACCTCCTTTCGGTGTGCGTCAAAAAATTTGTATTTTTATTGGCCATTATCGTGTCTCATCGCAATGGTAGCTGGGATAACAATGTTCGCTCTCTTCTTCCCCGTCGTCGTCCCGTCGTCGTCGTTTGCTCGGCAAAACTGGGGCGCCGCGTCAAGTCGCGTCGCGTTTCGCATCCGCTAAACGCATCCGCTAAGAGCCGATCCTCGATCTGATTTATCCTCTGTTTGGCGTGATACCGACAGTACGTTACTCTCTTCCGTACATGATAATAAAATTCTAACGTATTTCGTGTACTTTCTGATTTTTTATAACTTTGAAACTATTCACGTTCGAACATCGTATCGTGTTATCGAGCACTCCATATATTAAATCGCACCGATTTCTCATTGATTTGGTACTCTCTTTTTTATCTCACAAAGTTACCACGGTCGAAACTGCACAGTTGCAGAAGAAAAGGTCGGCTAACTTGACGTCCGATTCCGAATAAGTGAAAGTTTCGAGATAAGGCAATAAATTTAAATATCCCTACGTTGCTCGGCCGCGTCGAACATGCAGCACGGATATCATCGGCGAAGCAAGGCGTTCCTTTTCGCCGAGCAGAGGAAAATGCAAATTGCACGAGGGGCGATCGTTCCGAATCGAACCGAGCCGCGCCGATTTTTACCGGTGCTTCTCCGTCGAAAGTACCGAGATCTCGAGAGAGAATTCGAAGGAATCTCACGCATTCCGATGTCCTTTTTTTCCTCGACTGAAATTGATATTGCGTCTGTGACCCAGTTTTAGTCATAAACGCGGATAGCTTCGCAATTTGTTCTCCTATTTATAACTCTAGTTACGATGTGGACAAAAAACTTCTTTTAATCGAGACTAGCGCTACAAAAGTCGTTGCCCAACCCATAATTTTTTACACGTTTAAATGAAGCAAGTGTGGATTTAGCAAGTATAATTCTGGTAGCTCGACAGTAATACAAATATTGCAGGTTGCGAGTTGAGCATTTACGGCACTTAAAAGCGTATTCACAGTCGTTCCTCAGAAATAACAATTCGCTAATAATAGTAGTATTCATATTTGCGTATGCACAAATGTATAAAGAAGGAAATCTCGTACTTCTAGGGCTTGATCACAAGTACGCTTCTCGGATATGATCGTTGCTAGAATTTCGAACATATCGATATTGAGTGCATTAGAAAAGCGAAGTTGGACCGCGTGCATCTATGCAAATGTAGCTCGAGATCGACTGATTTTCTTTGAAGAATCGCATGCTCGCGTTTCGTGGACTCTCCTTTCGTGGAGGTCGAGCAACGGTTTCCACGAAGGAGAGGAAAGACGGGACGGTAGAGAGAGCGAGCGATCTGTTTTCACTTTTGTGTTTTCCGGCCACCCGGAGGGTTCCCGAGGGAGCGAGTCGAGGCTGACTGTCTCAGGGGATCCTTGACGAGAGAGAATCGCAACGAGAAAAAGAGAGAAAGAGGGAGAGACGGAGAGAAAGAAAGAGCGTGTACCGTGCTTTCGCGCTTGGGTATCCGGGCGGTTAGATCGCACGCGAAATACAAAAGGAGCCAATTATAATGACAATGCACCTTCTTCAGCTAGGCCGCCGCCAGGCCTGGGAAAGAAATTCGCCACGTCCGTTTCGCCGACGGCGCGCTAACTACGGCACTGCCGTCACGCGCCATTGTACCGTAATCGCTCTCGAATACGGACATCGTATAGATACTTACGTACGTTTGTACGTGCGAGTACGTATGTATAGGTACATATGCGCGTCCGCTTGACACGAGTAGAAATTCATAGGACATACGCGACACGAATTTTTTCTTCTCTATATTTATGCGCTTCGGTGCTCCGCATACTCCGGTCGAAACGGATTCCGGACGTTTCGCGCGGTCGCCGGAACGATCTCGCTGATTTCTAGCGGCTTCGGATCGTAAAGAACATAAAAATAAAGAGTTACAGACTTCGTCGTCACGTTACATTGAAAGAGTCACGATTAAGTCGCGGTGTGTGTAATCTATTACTGTAATCAAGTTAAACGAATGGATATTAAATGAAACGAATGAAAGAAATTATTTTCAGTTAATTTGATATAAACTTCATAAATCTAATAAGTTATAAAAGAAGTATGGAAAAGATATATAAATATAAATATGAAATTTTACAAATTGCCACACGATAATCTCTAAATCGATTCGCGTAATTGATCGTATCTTTCTTCTTAATTTGTATCCACAATATCCGGTATTATTTTTCTCATATAACGTAGAAAATATTTCTGAGAAAGTAAAGTGCAACAATAAATTAAACTGCCGATCATCGAAAAAATGACACTCTGAAGGATCGAATTGGAGGATCACGCGTTATTGAAAGATCGCCATCGAGCGGCTATCCGCATTCGCGTCCGAGGACGAGAAAATAAATCCCGAAATGAAGGGCCATTGTGTCGGTGGGAAAAGCGTCTTCCGCCCTTCTGACTCTGAGACTAGCCTGGACTTCTAATTCATCGTGAATGGACCGAGGGTGAAACGTGAGACGGAAACGGGTGCAAGTGCACCGTGGGCTGGTGCTTCTGGTACGAACGGTGTTTTAAAGAAACGAAAAGGAAAAGAAAAAGAGAAAAAGAAAGGGAGAGAGAGAGAGAGAGGAAGAAGGACAAGGGAGAGAAGAAAGAACGGGGAGAAGCCGGAACCAGTTAAGGAAACGAGTTGCGCCCAACTCCCTTTGCGCGAACCGGCTTCACCCTTCTGCATTCAACACCACCTTCCACGCTTTTTCAATAACACGTGCATTTTCCGAGTACCCGATGTACCGTGCGCGATCATAAAGTTCCTTATCGGAAATATCGGTTGTAAGTTGATATCGGAAATGCTCAACAAGTTTATTATCTACCGATTTTTGCCGAATAGCTCTAAGGCTCGACTGAACTCATGATCGCGCTATTTATACATTTTCGAGAGGGACTCCTATCGCGTTGCAGCAATCTTGAGAGCGAGTTAAGTGACCGTTATTTTGAGCATTGCAAAAAAGCGTAAATAGGAGTCGTTTCGCAGTTTCAAGTTTTTCCGGGCAAGTGGATTATACGGTACATACCTTTGATGCGCTTCCGGGATAATGTCGTCGATCACAACGTAGATCATCGCACCGGCCGCGAAGGCAAGTGCATAAGGTAGCGCAGGTGCGGCGAGCGTCACTCCGGCTGCGCCAAGGACACCGGCAATGGGTTCCACCATCCCCGAGAGCTGGCCGTACCAAAAGCTCTTCAGCGTGCTAATCCCGGCGGCTTGAAGGGGCAAGGACACTGCCAATCCTTCTGGGAAGTTTTGTATCCCGATCCCGATCGCGAGATTTCTGTAACAAAATTCAGAATTTGAACGTTACTTTTGATTTGCGAATACATGTAATTAATTATAAATTAAAAATATGAGTCGTTCTAAAATTATCCAAGGAAAAATCAACTTTTTAAATAGCATCAGTGACAAGACTGTCTTGCATAATCGGTATAATTCATTATCTATATAGCGATAACCGATTCTTTCACAAAGTTAACGCAATCGAAAGCGTTCCAGCGTATAAGTATCGCGGTATTTCTGTACCAGTCTCAAGATAGGTACTCCGATCTTGCACCGAGCGCACCGTTCGCGAATTCCGTAAGGTTGTGCACCGATGGGCCGCAACGATAATATGCAAAAATAGGGGCCGTTCTGCCGCCACCGAATTGAGAAAAAGCGAAGGAAAAAGGGAGAGAAAAAGAGAAAAAGAGAGGAGCGCGATAAGAACGAAACCAAAGGAGACAAGGTGGCTCCGCGCGAGAATCAACTTGCGCGTGTACGTATACACAAACATACACACGCACACACATTCTTTTTCTCTCTTTCTCCGACGTGGCAGTGAGTTCTTGAAACTGGTCGACGGCTTCGACATTCTCCAGATTTTTCCATCTTCGCGATCGGAGCGAAGCGCTTGGAGAGCCGCGAGGCTTCCTCTAGATCCAGCCGTATGTACCGCTCGCTCTTTCATGCCTACCGAAGAACGGCTAAGCTTACTCGACCAGGATCGCCGCTCATAAATAAGATGTCAATGAACGACAAAGCCTTGAGTTTCGCTTCCAGTTACGCGAACTGCCCAGCAACGAGGTGAAGCCGTTGGCGCAATAGTCATAAGTAAATTGACGTAATACGTAACGTGTTTGTATCATTGACATTAATAACTGATTATTGCAATGTCGAATATCCATTCGCTGCAAATCATTCAGGCTTCCGTACATTTATATATATATGTGTATATAATTGATAATTTATATAATTGATAATATAGTTATAAATCAGTACATAAGGTTGTTAATTAATCTCTGGATGTATGGATATTAAGACATAATCTTACATAACTTTTCAAATATAATTATGGTGAAGTGCGGGGGATCAAAAATAACTTGTATAATATGCGCAAAAATGATCACGCGATGCATTAGTGACGTGATCGATATAGAAGAGATAGAACGTTAGCGCTTCGTTGCAAGCTCGCGAGACCTCTTTCCTCGACCTCCGTTCATCTCTGTCTCTCTTTTCCGCGACCTCGCGGATCGCCGAGCGTGATCTATGGTACAAGTAATAGCATGGTAGAATCACGTCGAAGAATGAGAGAGAAAGGCAGGCGGCGAGAGCGAGCGAGCTAGCGAACGGGCGAGCGAACGAGATGGAACGAGGGAGGGAAGGAGCGGCGGGAGAGAGACGTAACAGGTGAATGAACGACGGGATACACCGCGTACACAATCTAACACGGCGCACAAGCCGGCGGGATATTTCATATATTGCACACCGCCGCCGCGGAATTCTCCTCAACTTCGGAATATCATCGCTCTCCGACCGCTCTCGACCCCGCGTTCTCTGCCAATCCCGCGACGAATCCTTCCATTCACTACTCCGAGCGAGTCGAGGAACGCAGGTTGAACTTTGCGAGCTCGCGAGAGGAAGCCTCGCGGACGAATCGACATGGATGGATTGAATTCCGCGGGATGTAAAATGAGCTATTTATTCATATATGTCGAGTTACGCATGAATATTTTCAGGAGAAAGTGCAGGTTACGTCTCTTTGACAACAATTTTTTAACTATTTCTAATCCTTATTTAAACTTGTACAGTGGAAATTAATTAAAATACATAGATCCTTGCGACTTTTGCAAGGTAAAGTTTAACTTGTTTCTCGACGGTTAATATTTCTTCGAAGGCAATTGCGAAATTAATTATAATCCGACTGCGAGGTCATTGCAACCATGAATACGTCAGCGCTGGTCTGTCTCTTTTTCTCTCTTTCTTTCCATCGGTAGACCTTCAATGGGATTCTCAGGATCGACGTAATAGTATTCCTATAAAACTAGAACCGTGGGGCCTCGCAAGAACCCTATGACGAGAGCTGAATTGAAGACGGGGAACGGTCGGGAGACTTGTCCGGTTAGCGAGATGATCCAATTCTAAGGCCCATAAGAAGCGAGAAAACGGTACCGGGCTTCATAGAGGAGACTAACTATTCGAATGAATGACTCGACTGAACCGGACAGAGCCGCATGCGCGCGAAGCGACCGAAACGAAGAAAAACCCTTCGGTTCTGGTACGTGGAACGAGGTAACGAAGATCTTCCGCGATCTAGCTCCCGTAATTCGATATTCATGAGCGCCGGACTTTACGAGGCGAACGCTGCAACAAGCCGTTCAGGGGCTTCAAACTCATCGTTTGCTAGTAATCGTATTTCGCGACTTGATGAATAGCATTTCATAAATACTCCTGCTTCAGATAAATGCTGAGATAAATCAAAACCTTAAATAGATAAATTAGCAATTATAGTCATATAAATATAAAAGCTGTATATCATTTCAGAATTTTCGCGAATCTAATGGCGAATAATTTTGTCTTTCGTTCTCAAGATAATTGCTTGTTTCTTGTTTCATTAGTTATTTTTATTCCGAATTTCAGTCAAAAATTAATGAGACAGTCTAGAGATTTTTGCGGTGTACATTGTTCGAAAATGGGATTATTCTATCAAGAATGAAACAGCTACTTATAAATAATCTAATAAAAAGCCTCCTCTCCTTATCCTTATCCCCATTATAATCATGTAAAAATGTTACCGTTGGTGAAATGTTGCCCACGCGAAAAATTGATGCGTCGTCTGCAAAAATCTCTAACCACCACGTGAACGCAAGCGGATCGATCCAAGATGGAAAAAACAGGCTCAAACGATTCAGATGCGATATAGCAGGCTCTTCCGTGATCCGCTCGGCGAATCATCGATTTGCGAACGATCGGGATTTATAGGGAACAATCAGCATGTATTTTTGATTAATTAACTGCTTTACTATACTAACTGTCCGCTTGATTCACGTAGCGGATCGCGAAGTTGCAGAAATCTTCGTCGCTATTAACGTAATGCGGAGGACACAGAAAGAATCGAGACAATCAGTCTCGCGACTCTTTCAAATTTGTATGAAGAATCTGTTAAAAAGCGTTAAAGTATTTCGGGGAAATGTTATTGTGATTAGCACGCGGTCTCGAGGTTGTTTTTCGGTGTACGTGACGCACTTTGTTTACGTGACGTCGCTGCGCGAGAACAAAGTCGCCGGCACTGCCGGCAGGTAGCTCAGAACTGTTCTGTACGTTGTAGCGTTAAGATCTCTCGATCGCTCTTCGCAACAATATGCAATTATCTCCCGTACAATTAACTAACGCTTACGTTTAATGAATCGCATGGATATCAAAGCAATGAACACTTGATTCGAGCGGATACATATTTCGCGCGATCTATTCGAAACGATACGCGATGGGAATGCTGAACTTTGATCACATCGCGTACTTTTGCACGATCCGTTTGATCATTCATTTGGAATACAATTTCGCAGAATCTCGCGAACAGTTAACAGTTAGAAGTGTCGTATACGACCCTCTATAGATCGTCACGCAATTATAATTAACTGCAGCATTTCGATAAATGAGTATTGTGCGATAAGGAAATGTGAGAGAAAAAGAAAGCCTTAAGAGACATCGTGTAACGGCGGTGTAATCATGTGTCCTATTTACGCATGATAAAAGATTCGTTGCGATATTCGCGGATGTATGTCTAAATTAGAATTTCGCGTTTACTATCTCGCGAACGTCTCGCGTCGCACTTTGAACGCTCTGCCGGTTAAAATATGTATAATTTATCTTCGATTCTCTCTGAAGAGAGAAAGATAATTTGTAATTTGGAAAAAAAGAATACTTGTTAGAAATCGCCGCCGATTGTATAAACGGTTTGTCAAGTCACATTTTCGGGAGTGCCGTATACGAAATCATCAAATTTTCGGAAATGTCACGTTATTTTAATAATAAGAATTTTAATAATCTGAACGCGCGCGTTGAGTTAACATTGTTATCGCGGACAATTTTTTCACGGATTAATTTTTTTATTTCGCGTTTTATTTTCGGGAGTGACGTATAAAATATCGCGCGATCGTGGTTGTCCGCGTTTTTTTCGCGAGTGTTGTGTTAGAGGAGTTCTAAGGAGTTGGCAACCTGAATAGCCTGCTGAAAGAAGGAGGAGACCTAGGAGAGGCATCGGCAGAACAACCTTGTGGTGAGTATTAATTTTTAATTATTTATACAAAATTAATCATTCTTTCATGTTTATTCGAATCGTTTTATTTCAATTAAAAAAAAATAATTAAAAAAGAAAACTTTTAAAATTTAATAAAAAAGTTTATCTTATATATTCTTCCCAAAATTCTATAATTATTTTCAAAAATATTTAAACGCCCAGTACCGTTCAAAGTCGTCACATTTTCGAAAAAGCCGTCGCACGATTTTAATAATTAAAATTTTAATAATCTGAACGCGCATTGAGATAAAATTGTTATCACAAACGATTGTTTCACGGATAAAATCGGGTGTTACTTTGCTTTTTATCTTTGGGGGTAACGTATAAAATATCACACGATCGTAGTTATCCGCGTTTTCGCGAGTTTTGTGTCGGAAAAGTCCTATACGGAAAGATCAGCGCGAGTTGACGGTAGAACGACGGCAGGTCCGGTAGAGAGACGATCGGGAGTAGAGGCGGCACAGGTGAATGAATGACGTGATCCGCGCTTTCGCGCAGGGATCATCCAGTATATAAGGTGATTCTCTTTTCCCGCGGGCCCTCTCGCGCGGACACGCAGGGTTCCCGGCGAGAGGTATGTCATGCCGCGGCATGTCGCGCGTTATTTCATGGGACGACGGCATCATCGTCGCCGCATTCCTACGGCGTCGAGGTATATAAGTGGTTGTACAGTTAACCCGTTGGGTCCGGCTGTTCGCCAGTTGCACCGAGGGAGGTCACCCGAG